GAACAGTGTGAACCCTGCAGATTGCATTGGTAGCGTGGCAGCATAGATCCCTCGTGGACGCGCCCTACCACCTGATCTTCGATGCCGTCTACCGACGGCGACCTTGGAGCTGATGTGGCTCCTGAGGCGACTGATACCGAGGACCCCGAAGAGGAGCTGCTTGCTGATGGTGCAGACGGTCTCCTTGACGAGTTCCTGGTTGAAGGCGATGGTCTTGACGACGGAGCCGATGAGGGCAGTGTTGCGGCCCACCCCGTGGAGCCGACTCAGGAGACGAGGTCTCCGATTCGACCTGGCCGGTCGGGGCCCCGCAGCTCAGGCTCTACTTCTTCGTCTCGACCGACGCCCTCTCCTTTGAAGGCCTCTCCTGGTGCTTCCTCGGAAGCGACTAAGGCGCAGAGGAGGCCAAGAGGAAACTTGCCCGCGGCCCCGGTCTTCGACGGGGACAAGAAGAAGGACCCGAAGTGCTTCCGGAAGTTCGTGCTGAAAGTAGACAGCTATGTGGAGATAGCCAAGAATATCATCGACGAGAGCGAGATAGGCTTGAGGCTCCACGCGGCTTTGGAAGGCGATGCGGCGGACTACCTGGAGGACATCCCTGCCAAGACTTTCGGCACCAAGGAAGGCTGGAAGGTGCTGCTTCGTGTCCTTAAGGAAAAGTTCGATGAGCGAAGGATGCACAAAGTGGGCAGCGCTATGAAGGGCTTCTTTCGCCTCGACGTGGCCGGCAAGAGCATGACGATGATCGAGGTTGCCGATGCTATGGACAAGGCGGCCCGACGTTGCAAAGAAGCCGGGCTAGTGATACCCGACGAGGTGATGGTGTACTTTCTCTTCGAGCACACCAACAGCAGCCTAGAGCGACAAGCCAACGTGCTCCTCCGCACCACGGGCGAGTACAACTGGAAGAAGGTGAAGCAAGCGATCGAGCTCTTGTACCCGACGGTGCAGGTGCGCTCCGGACGGGAACCTGGACGAGACGGTCATCGAGATCAACGCGCCGGTGGTCGAGCAAGGGGTGCTCACGAGACAAGGTGGGAATATGATCCCGACTGGCGTTTGCCAGCCAGTGGCGCGACTGAGGAGCAGGTCGCTAACTGGCTCCTCGACCACGACCCCGCGGAGATGATCGCCGAGCAGGACATGGACGAGCTCCCCGAGGACCTGGCCAGGTCACTGCACTCCGTGATGGCGACCCACCGCGAGAACAGGCAGAAGCTGGCCCGCGCAGTCCAAGCCCGCGGCTTCTACGTGAATGGAGGCAAGGGCAAGAAGGGCTCGAAGGGCGGCGGTGGAAAAGGCCAGGGCAAAGGGAAAGCCAAAGGCGGAGGCAAATCCTCCAAAGGCGGCGGCAAGACCCGCGGCGGCATGACGCTCGATGAGTTGAAGGCCGTTACCGTGTGCGGAGATTGCGGCCAAAAAGGGCATTGGCGTGGGGACGCAGCCTGCAACGCCAAGAAGGTCAACGAGGTTGCCCGACACGAAGCCGAAGACGACGATGACGACGGCGGCGCCGACGGTCTGGAGGACTGGTATGGCTACGGCGAGGAAGGCGACGATGACCAATGGATGGCCGAGCGCTACGGCTACGTGGTTACCCGAGGCGTGCAAGCGGCCACCAGGACTATGTCATCGCCCCCGACGCCGCCGATTACACGACCGACTCCGGCGTCTACGGCTTCCCCGGCGGCGGCCAAGAACGAAGCAGTCCGGCTGGCACGCGGCGTGAACAAGGTGCGGGCCAAGGCTGGACAGGCGAACGAGGTGACGGTCTCGGCCGTCGAAGAGGCACTGCGCTCAGACGATTTCTTTGCCAGCGCGGAGGTGACGCGGCGCATCAAGGAGGCGCACAAGCCGACGATGAGCCGGAGCTCTGCGCCAGAGGCCGTCGAGAATGCGATGCGGTTCTTTGGCATCGCTCCGGTGCACTCCGACGGTGGCCTTCGCGACTTCCTGCAGGACAGTGGCGGCAAGGACGACGAGACCATCGACCTGGACAAGTTGAGGCGTACTTTCGCCGCGCGCCGAACGCACTGGATTTTCTCCACCCACCGTGCGCTCCCCGAGACCGCGTACAACAAGGACTACTTGACCATCGACACGGCGTGCGAGAACACGGTGGTTGGGAAAAGACTTCTTGACCGCGTCCTTCGGCGTTGGCAGGACGACTTTGGCCTGGTGCCGAAGGAGGAGGCCGAGAACGAGTTCTACTGCTTTGGCCCCGGCGAGCCCAAGCGATCCACTATGAGAGTGCATTTGCCGATCGGGCTCGGCGGCCAAGCGGTGGTGATCTCTACTTCGGTCATAGACGACAGCGACCTCCACGAGATCCCCTTCCTGGCCGGACAGGATTTCCTCACTTTCTCCAAGGCGGTGATCGACATGGGCGAGCGCCGCGTGACGTTCCCCGCTTTGGGTGGTGTGACGGTGCCCGCTCTACTTGATGCCACGGGCCACCTGGTGCTTGAGCTTGATGATTTTCCCGATGGTGGCTGGCCTGCCGGCCTTCGCCCCGACTTTTCGGCTTATGCCGGCATGATCTTCGCAGGCACCGCCCGCACAGGGTGCCGTGATGTTTCTCAAGGGCAACGTCTCACAGAGCCAGAGCCCTCCGCGGACCAGGAAAAGTACACGGACCTTCCTGTGATTTCCGAGCGCGTGTCCCAGCAGCTGACCCACAAGTACGAGCCCAATCTAGATGACATGAATAGTGACTTGCAGCCCTTCAAGTGCACACTTCCTGTTGATCATTGGCAGTTTTGCGTGGACACTGGCATGCATGTACGACACCACCTTAGGCCACGGACTAGCCTCTTTGAGCTTCACGAGGTTGCCGATGGTCCCGAGGCGAGGTGGTTACGAGGGGAACGGGTCACAATCATTCATGGTGTCTCCGAGCCTTTGTGGGACCTTTGGGGCACGGGGGCACGATTGCAGCATCTTCCTGTCAGTTGGACTGGGATGACTATTTTTATCAATGCTGACGGTGCTTGGCCTCATGACCTTCCTGTGGCTAGGGCGAGTTCTGCTGTTTCAGTCAAGGGCCCCAACGGTGACTTTGTTTTGGTACCGCCTGCTAGCTTGCTGCCGGTAGAGACCACTAAGAAGGTGTTGCAGTTTGACGTTGGAGCTCGAGGCAACAAGGACCCCGAGATACCCGCCACAAGAAGGACAGGTGACTTCCAGATGCCGTCGCAGTTTTTGGCTGAGCGCCCTCAAGAGCGATATCATTATGCAAGGGCGCCCCCCGAGCAACAAGAAGTCCCGGGCACGCTCGTCATGGCGGCGGTGCGTGACCAAGGTGCTCATGCTGTGCGACCAGATCAGCCGCATGGAGGTCTCCACCAACTTTGTGAGGAGCATGCGGTTCCGAGCCCCGGCGCTGACGGCTTACGCCGAGGTCTTGGCCGAGGAGGAGACCCAGCACTTGTTGTCGGTGGCGCCCACCAACCAGAGGCTCCAGAGCAAGAAGCCGGTCAACCCGAACTATCCGGTGAACCTCCACATCTGCGACCACCCGGAGGACGCGAGCAGACGGCATGGGAACAAACACGGGAGGTTTCGCGACTGCCTGCTGTGCGGCATGGTCTTCAAGGCGATGCCGGCCGACTACGTGGTGCCGATCTCCGGGGACAAGGTCCCCATCTTTCTGGAGCACGGCAGGCGCAGCAAGCCGGGCGGCAAGGTGACGGACACGCCGGCGGGGAGAGCACGAAAGCGGAACTCAGCCGGCACGGGATCCTCAATAAGCTTGTCCGACTGCTATTCGTGCTCGGCTCGTGCCTCTACAGCAGCGGCATCCAGCGCCTCCCCGCCGACGAGCTGGCGACCATATCCCACAACGTCTTCGGCACCTCCGGCGGCGACACCTTCTTCGCGAACCGCGCCGGCCCCGCCTTTGCCCCTGACGGACAGGGAGCCGGAGCAACAGCAGGTGATGGAGTGGGAGACGGTGTCCGTGTCCAGCACGGACGTCTGAAGCAGTTGCGGCCGGGACAGCGACGCCGCATCGTTCACCGAGCTCGTGAAGCACTGGAGTCCAGCCGGGCCCAGAAGGACATGGTGAGTCAGCGGGCCGCCCAGAGACCACGGCGACTTCTTCGGCGGCACCACGACCTCCTGGAGCTCTACTTGGACGAGGCCTGGCTGACCAAACGAGCTGTGGGACGCTGGGGGCTTCAAGCTATGGAGCCGTTGAGCTTACTTCCTGGACGCGGCCATGACCTTCGGCTTCCCTCTGGCCGTCGATGGCTTCTGGAACGGCTCGATGTCTGGGACCCCGGCTTGGTCTACATGAGCTACCCATGCCTTCGGTGGGCACCGTTGGCCAAACCGGTGGCCCAGGACGAGGAGGACGCAAAGGCCACAGGTGCAACTCTACGCGACAAGGAGCTGGACTTCTTAGCCTTTTGCGAGGCCGTGGCTGAAAGCCAAGCCCGACGAGGCGGTCACATGGTGGTGTGCGCTCCTGTGCCCCTATCGCAGTGGCCTGGGGGCCGCATTGGCGGGTCCTACCACGAGGTGCTCCTCGACTTGCGGAAGTTGGTTGTCAACAACGGCGTGGTCGACAAGGCTGGGGACACAAAGAACGACGAGCAGCTGGTGCGACACTTGGTCTCGGACGTCTCTTTTGTGTCCTTCCTCTCGGAACTGAACCAGGGGCACAGCAACGACGCCGGGTTCGAGGATGCCCTTTGCCGGGCCTACTGGGACCTCTTCGTCGCGGACTCCTTTGGCACGACCCTCGACTACGACATCGAGTTGCGAGCGGGGACTGGCCATCGGAAAGTGTACTTTGTGCGCGCCAACGAGGACGAAGATAAGTGGAAGCCTGTGCTAGAGCAAGCCCTGGAGATCCTTGGCCGCAAGGTACAGCACAACATCTTCCTTGACCCAGAGACCGACCTCTACAAGAAGATCGTCGAGCTGGTGCCTTGGGAGATACACAACGTGCAAATAGCCTACCTACCCAAGGCTAAGCGAGTTCGGCCAGGGTTGGAGCGAGACCATAGGCTCTCGGTCATCATGCACAACGACGACACGATCACGATCGAGCAGGAGGAGCTACCGAACGTACAGGCACCTCGCGAACGTTTTGTCCTACCTGCACGTGTCGGCGTCTTCGTGCTTGGCCGCGCGCCCGGTGAACCAGGGGCCGCGGTGCCCGCTGCTCAGCATGGGGTGCAACGACTTCCTCCACAACCTGGCGAAACCGCAGAGGACCCCGAGCTCGAGATCATGCAGGAGATCGGGCTCGTCCGGGATGACTACTCGGATGAGGTCTGGTTCGTGGGCCCTCCTCTGACTGCAGAGCAAAAGAAGTTGGCACCTTTTGTGGTGAAGGCCCACCGGAACCTTGGACATCCCCGGGCCGAGGACCTTACGAGAGCTTTGGCCCAGAACGCAAAGGTGCAGCCGGAGGCCGTGACTTTGTCCAGGCGGCTCCGCTGTGCCACTTGTGAACGTACCAAACGTCCTCTACCACCAAGGCCTGCTTCCTTCAAGGTGCTCGGCTCCTTCAACGACCGCGTGTGCCTTGACCTGGTGCACTTGAGAGACGCCAAGAACCAACCGCATTGGTTTTTGCACGTACTGGAACCCAACGGGAGCTTCAACGTCTTCTACCCGATCAACAGCCGGGAGCCCGCCCACGTGCTGGAAGTATTCACCAACGTCTGGATGAGTTGGGCCGGGCCCCCTACACGAGCCTGGCTGGATCGAGACGGGGCGTTTGAAGCTGAGTTTCTTGATCGACTACAAGCACTGGGTACAGAAGTAGACAATCCGGCGGCTGAAGCTCACTGGCAAGCCGGCGAGGTGGAGTCCTTCAACCGCGCTTTCAAATACGTGGCGGTGAAGCTGATCGACGAGAAGCAGCTCGCCGGACCCCTGGAGATGAAGCTCCTCGCCGCCGAGGTAGGACAGTGTATGAACGAGAAAGTCAGAACTTCGGGTTGCTCGGCCTACCAATGGGTATTCGGAAAAAACCCACGGGTCCCGTGCGACCTGCTGTCCCCAGACGGCAAGCTCGAGGCTCTTCAAGGTCTTGACCATGATTCAGAGCTACGTCTTCGCGCTTGGATCAGGTCGCAGGCTGACGGCAAGTTGGCTGAGTTCAGGACCAACGAGGCCTTACGCAACGCCGTGATCAGGATGCCCAGACCACCGAGGCATCACTATGAACCTGGCGACTTGGTGGCCTTCTGGCGGAACGCCAAAACACGCCGGGGAAAACGAGTTCCCCCCGGGTGGTTTCGTGCCACCGTGATAGGCCCTCACAAAGGCGACGCAAGCCAAAGCAATTTTTGGGTTACTTCGGGCGGTCGTTGTGTGCTCGTTTCCAAGGAGCAGCTGCGGCCAGCTTTCGGCACAGAGCTCTGGCGGGTTCAAGAGCGCGACCTCGAGAACGTGATCCAGATGCCCCCCGACCGGTACTACGACGAGGTCGGCGAAGGCCCCGCCGAGGACGACGCCACCGCCGAACAGCCGGGAGAGGTCATGCCGATGTACGAGGCCGAAGCGGACGAGTCCTGTGACTATTCCCCTTCCATGCCTGAAGAAGAAGGAGAACGAAGCCAGGACGAAGGAGACGGCGCCGAGGGAGGCGCAGCCGCGCCCTCTAAAGATGGTTCGGACCGGACACAGCCCTCTCCAACAGCGGCGCCAAGGGCTACGACCGCAGCTCCTGGAACCCCTGTGGCGCACCTCTTCGACAACCAGCAGTGGCGGCAGAGACCAGACAACGAGGAGGCACAAGAACCGGAAAGCAAGAAGCCTCGGCTCGAACAAGAAGAGGCCGTAGCGTCTGCTCTTGAAGCTCACCGACGTTCCGGTCCCTACCTGCCGCTCACCTTCGAGGAGAAGTTCGCCAACCCCAGGGACAAGTTCGCCAAGGAGGTCTTCTACGCGAAGAAGTACGTGAGCTCTGCTTGGGTCACTCGCAAGGACCAGAAGGCACTGGAGAAGGAGATCCCTCGGCATCTTATCCCCGAGGACCAGCAGCACTTGTATGAGGAGGCACGCCAGAAAGAGTGGAACACTTGGAAAAAGTTCGAAGCTGTGAGGCCACTCGACCTGCAAGCGAGCCAATGGGTGGAACAATACGTCGATCCTTCCCGCGTGCTCAAAACCAGGTTTTGCTACAGGAACAAGAACGCGGCTTACCCTTGGATGGAGGTCAAAGCTAAGGCTAGACTAGTTTGTCGAGGAGACCAGGACCCAGATCTCCTGACTCTGCGTCGGGACGCCCCGACTTTGACAAGGGTTGGCCTCATGATCATCCTTCAGGTTGCCGCTTCCTTTGGCGATTTCTTCCTCTTCAACAGCGACATCACTGGTGCGTTTTTACAAGGCAGCCAGGAGCTCTCGAACCGCAAGGAGCAGTTGTTTCTCAAACAACCGGCCGAAGGGCTCCCTGGGTTACTGAAAGGGCAGATCCTACTGGTGATCCGCGGCATCTTTGGGCTGGCGAACTCACCACGGCTCTTTTGGCGACACCTTCGCGACACTTTGCTGCGGCTCGGTTTCGTCCAGAGCTGTCTGGATAAGGCTCTGTTCATGTTCTACCGTGCCGGTAGACTGGTGCTCATCCTGGGCACCCATGTCGACGACCTGATCGGTACCGGCCAGCCAAGGACAGCCGACGACATCCTGGAACAGGTCAAGAAGGAGTTCGACTTTGGTGCCTGGGCCGACAGCCGAACCGAGCCTGTGTTGGAATACGGTGGCAAACAGATTCGCAAAGTCAACGGCAAGGTTGAGCTCAGCCAGGAGAAGTTCATCAAGGCCTTAGCTGTGGAGCCAATCCCTCGGTGGAGGACAGTGACACCCAACGCCGAGCTTCTGCCGAAGGAGCTAACCGAACTTCGTTCCGGCGGCGGGTGCTTGCACTGGCTCACAGGACAAACGAGGCCAGATCTCGCTGCTGCAACCTCCCTGGCTATGTCGGGGAAGCCAACTGTGTCCCACTTGCAAGAGGTGAACCGCTTGCTGAAGGACGCCAAGGCCTCTGAGGACTGGAAGTTGACTTTCGCTCCAGTACCGTTGCAGACTGCGAGGATCGTTGCTTACACCGACGCTAGCTGGGCCAACCACGAGGACTTGCGTTCCCAGGCCGGCTACCTGGTGTTCGTGACGGGCCAGAACGTCTTCACCGTCGAGGGCGACAGCGCTTCACTGGTGGAGTGGCGCTCCCACCGCATCCAGAGGCGGTGCCGCAGCACTTTGGCTGCAGAGACAATGTCTATGGACGCCGGCTTCGACGCAGCAATCTTCGTACGTGAGCTCTTGGCCGAGGCTTTGCTCGAAACGTACCGGCCCACACAAAGCGGCCGACTTCCTGAGTGGTTCTTGCCGCCCCACGTGGTCACAGACTGCCGCTCTTTGTACGACTTGGTGACCAAAGACGGGCCCCTAGGAGCTACTCAAGAAAAGCGCTTGACTCTGGACATCGGCGCTATCCGTGAATCAGCCGAAGAGCTAGACCGCGACTGTGAGAATCTCAAGGAAACCTTCCGCTGGGCAGACTCCGCGAGCCAACTCGCCGACCACTTGACCAAGAAGAAGCCCAGCTGGCAGTTGAGGGACGCTCTAGGCCTTAACCGCTTGAGCCTCAAGAAAGTTGAGCCTGCAGATACGAAATCAAATCCGTGAAACGGATTTTCACGAGTTTTTATAAAGGGGAGTGCAATCGGCTGTGCAGTTTGTGAA